GATAACGACCATCACCCAGGAAAGAAAGCACAACGGTCACAGCCGCGTGTATCCTGCGTTTCCTGATGCGCGCTGGGGGGTTGTCGCCGCCCCTGCCGACAGCAGACGGGTCCAGGGAGAGGAAGGATCCGCTCCAGGGCGTGCCGGAACGCCCTGGGAAGGCTGTGGCGCCCGACGCATCTTCCAGAGCTGCCAGCTCTCAGAGATTCTCGATTTTTATCCTTCCCCGGACTTATCCTCGTCCTGGTTTGGTCTTGGTCTATCCTGCGCTTCTTGCTGCGCGCGGGGGGATCGCCGACCCTGCCGACGGCCCCACAGCCATACCCCCGTCGCCGCGAACAGCTGCGCGCCGAAGGCTCTCTCGAACCCGTCGGGGTTCCCCCCCCCACCTCCTCTTCCTCCTCCTCCTCCTCCTCCTCCTCCTCCTCCTCCTCCTCCTCACATTCCTCCCTGGGGCCGTGAACGGGATTTATCCCCTGCCGGCTGACGGTGCCTGTCACTGTCAGTAATCTAATACTCTGTGGCGTCAGTTGCCAGCCCAGTACACCAGTACACCAAGGGTGACGGTTCGACCCGTGCCGCCGCGGTGTCACATGTGCCGCCGCGGCGTCACTCATGAGTTCCTTCCCGCTCCCCGCCCCTTAACCGAGCTCTCCAAGGACGGGTATGTAAAACCCTCCCAGCCACCTCCGTCTGCCACTTGGGGCGCAGGTGTGTGGCTGGGCCTACTCCCCTCCTCCTCCCCCTTCCCCCCCCCCGCCTTCCTCTAAGGATGGGTATAACCGCCGTCCAGTCTACACGTCCGGAGCAGCGGCCCTCGCCGAGAGCTGTCCAGGGGCCGCCTTGGATCGTCCCCCTCTGTCGCTTTGCTTCGGCTTCAGGTTCCCCGGCCAGGCCCGCTTTCATCTTTCACGTTTCCCGTTTTCCCTCCCCTTCGCCCCTCCTGCTCCCCCTCCCCGCTCTCCCCTCCTTCCCCCTTCCCCCTCCAAGCGGATCCGCGTCATTACTTCCCTCCTTCAGGCTTCCCTGCCAGGACCTTTGCAGGCCTCCACTGCCGCTGGGGTCGCCCCATCGGCTGCACGCGGGGGGCTGGGACTTTCTGCGCCCCTGATTGGGGGGTGTGGTCGTGTGCGCGTGTGCGTGTGTGTCTCCGTGTGTGCGTGCTCAGTGTGTGTGTGTGTCTCTGTGTGGTGTACGTCGTGGGTTATGGGGGCATGCCCCTGCGGGCATTCCATCCCGTGGGATGAAGCCAATAAGTGCTTTCAGATGTACCGATCCATCCATTTGTTTGAGTGTACCGGCCTATCCGCTGTCGAACCTCCGTGCCTTTGGGTGTACCGGTCCATCCGTGCCGGCGGTGACAAACCTCGCACCTACGGGCATACAGGTTGTGGGTACCTCCTCGGAGTGAGGGTTCTCCCTATCACAGGCGCACAATATGTGGTGCCTGCTTTCGTGTCTTTCCTGCCCGCCCCTCGGCCGCTGCGTTAGCGGATGGGCCGGCACGCCCAAAAGTAGCATAGCACAGCATAGAAGATGCGCGTTCTTGTGGTATGGAGTTTGCCGCGTGCCTTGAGTGCCATATCCTGCACGTAGAACACTTTACGTGTCACGGAATACCCCCTCAGACTTGTCACGGTTTTCGCCGGGGGCCGTTTGCATACCAAGAGGTGCGGCACTCAGGGGGGACAGCTTCGGTGACCCCCCATACGCTATCCAAGCCAGCCCGTGTATTGTGGAACATAGGCGGGTGACAAGCGTTGGTTTTAAGTTCCCTTTTCAGGTATCCCCCCAGGACGCTGCTGCCGGACATCCGCTTCGACTTCCTGCCCTCTCCCCCCACCCCCACCCCGGTGAGGACCATCATAGGCCTCACCTGTGAGGACCATCGTAGGCCTCACACCCCCTGCGGCTGCCATCATAGGGGCCGCTGGGGTCGCCCTCTCCCACCAGTACACCGATGCACCAACACTTTACGGCGTCAATAGCCAATGGAGGGGGCCGAGGACCTCCCTGCAGCCCCTCGGCCAACGAAGACGGTTGCAGGGAGGGGTCCAAACGTACCTCCACCTTCATGCACCAGTCCACAATTACACCAGAAAATCAACTCCTCACATTCCTCCTCTTCCTCTCCCTCCTCCAAGGTTGCATTACGGCAGCCGGAGAAGCGCCGACCAGGCGAGTTTGGCTTCTCCTGCTTCGCCCCCGACGCCACGATTTGTCCACAACGTTTCGAAAAAGAAAAACGGCATAAACATAAACTTTCGGCGGTCCGCACGGTTTTCTTGGATTTGCGCTGGGGTCCCCTGGCGGCGCCTCCGGCGTCGCCCCTGGCGCGCTCCGCGCGTCAGGGAAGGGATCGGCCCCGATTCGATTTGCTCCAAATATCTTTGGAGATCCCTGGATTCGCTTGGACTGCCACGATGTGCCTGGATTTACACGGATTTTGTTGCATTTACCTGGATTTATCTCGCTCGCTCTATCCCCACAAGTCGATTGGCGAGAAGTCGTCAAGCCCTCAGGGGTGGCCCCCATCGGGGGATCCCCCCCCGACGCCATGATTTTTTCACAACGTCGGCCCCTGGGTGTGTTGATCCAGTCCCCAGAGCCGGCTTTTCATCCCGAGCCGCTTTCTGAAGGCCCCTGGGCCCAGCGATGGCCCCCAGAGGCCGACGACGTCCAAAGACCTCCCGCCGTGGTTTTTTTTCTCGACGCGAGGGGGTCTTGGTCCTGCCCCGCTTGCTGACGAACGCGGCGTGTGGCAGTGGCAGCGGGATGTCTGGACCTCGAAGGCCTTCTCCTGAGAGCGGTCAGGAACTATGGCTCAGCGTGTCGCGCCGCCGTTCCTGGCCCACCACGGTCCGGCGCGGCGCGCTAACCGCTTCCCGGTCCCCGAGTGTCAACGTCCCGAGAGTTCCCCAACTTTCCGCCCCACGGTGCGGAGCGGCACGCTGTCCGCGTGCAGGGCGCGGCGTGTCGCTGGGGCCTCCTCCTCCTCCTCCTCCTCTTCCTCCTCCTCCTCCTCCTCCTCCTCCTCCTCCTCCTCCAGAGGAGGAGGAGGAGGAGGAGGAGGAGGAGGAGGAAGAAGAAGAAAAAGAAGAAGAAGAAACAGAGGAGGAGGAGGAGGAGGAGGAGGAGGAGGAGGACCTCCCCATCCTCCCTCCCCCCCCCGTCCTACGTGTGGTGGTGGTGGTGGTGGTGGTGGACAGTTGGCCCCTCGTGGGCAGCATGTTCCCGACCGTGGCTGGCGCAGCGTGCGGCGAGGTCGGCGCACGGCCTCGGGGTGCACCGCGCCAGAGGCCTCGGCGCGGGGCGCCTCGCGGCCTGCGTCCCCTGGGCGCCGGTCGGGGCCGAGCTGCCGTCGGCCGGGGCTCAAGAGACCCAGAGATCCAACGCATTGAAAAAGTCAAGACGGAGGTTTTTCGCAGTTTTCGGCCTCCAGGTGCCCTCGCTGGGCCTCGGGACCGTCAGTAAACGACTTAGGATGAAAAACCGGTCTTGGGGAATGGGTCTAGACTTCCGGGGACCCCATATTGAACAAAAATCACAACGTCGGATCTCTGGGGACGGGGGTCAGCGCAAACGGGGGTCAGCCAGAGCGCCGGATCTTGCAGGATCCTGCAGGACCGGGGGCGCATTGACCCGGGCTTGGGTGCAGGATCCGGCAGCATCTTGCAGGATCCTGCGCACGGACTTAGGTTTTGGTGCAGGATCTCTCAGGATCCTGCAAGGCCTGACTGACCAAGGTCTGGATTGACCTGGGTCAGCAGATTCCCGAGTCGGGATGCCGTACGGAGAGGCGCGCTGGTTGTTTTCGATGGTTTTCGACTGCTTTCGGATGCTCGAATTCCGAGGCGGTGATTTATCCATAACCACCGCCTGGGGGATCGATCTTCGCGGACCTCCACAGTCGGTGGATATGGGTATATTCGGGCCCCTGGGGGCCAGAATATATCCATCCATCGCCCGCTGGGGCACCAGGACGTCGGTTCCCAGGCGGTGGATATGGATAAACCCCCGTCTCGCACGAATGTCGTCTATTGTTTTGGTAAGGTTTTCCGGGCCTGGAATGGTTCCCATGAGCTGCACCTCGTCGCGGGTGTTGCGGGGGTGTCAGCCTGAGGCCCGAGTTGTCGCCCGAAAGCGCTCGGAAGGGGCAGGTCTTCTCAGAAGGCGGCGGGAGGGGTCCCAGAACTCGTTCTGAACGGGTTCCTTTGTCGAGGCAGGTTTGTTTTGTTTTCAATGCCCACTCCCCCACGAGGAAGAAGCATGCGGTCAGGAAGAGGTGGCCGAGTCAAGCTTCCATTGTTGCAGCCCTCAGAGGTACTCCAGTCGAGAAGGAAGCGTTTAGGCCTTGATTGAAACAGGGACGGAGGGAGGAGGGGCATTGCGCCGCGAATGTGGGCACCCGCAGGGTCCCTGTCAGAGGGCGTTCAAATGTATTTAGGGCAACGCGCCTGGTGTGCCGGGCGAGTGCGCGCCAGCGCACGAGAAGACGCGAGGCGATCGGCACGCCCCCGGGCATGTCCTCGGGCGGTGAACGTCACGACGGGCGTCCGTCCCCACCAGGGCCACTCGGGCCCTCCAGGGGGCCCCTCGCCACCGTGGCCAGCGGCGACTCGGAGCAACTATACTGGCCAGGGCGGTGTGCATGATGGGCCAGGGGGGGCAGTTCCAACAGGACTGGCCAGGCAGATTGTCAGGGCTTGTTTCGATTCCCCCAATTCGATTCGATTCGACTTCGATGGCCTCAGATTCCGGGTCGATTCGATTCGGGATTCCGATTTGGGCTCCGATTTCTCATTGGAAGCATGTTAGCCTGCCGATTTCCGCCGATTCGACTTCTTCCGCCTCGGCTGCCGATTTCCGCCCAATCAATTGATGATTCGATTCTAGGCTCTCATGGGTTGTTCCTCCCCCTCCCTCAGAGGGGCGCGCGTGTGAGCAAGCAGGGGCTCCGTGGCTGCGGCTCAGGCCACCGGGGCCAAGGGGGGGGCGCCATGCCCGCGCTGCCGCACGCCGCGCCCCCGCCCTCGCCTGCGCGCCGGTCTCGCGCCTCGGTGGGCGACCTCGCCACCGTGCTCCGCGCAGGCCTGGGCGGTCCGCATGGCGGCGCCGCGCGGGAGCCGCACCGCTGGCGGGAGCACCTGCGGCGCCTCGCGGACGAGGCCGCGGACCTGTGCGACGTGCCCGCGGAGGTGTCCCGGCTGCTGCTCCAGGAGGAGCTCGGCGCCGAGGGCGCTCCGGACGAGGCCCGCGCCGAGTGTCGGAGGATCGGCGGCGAGTCCAGGGGGAAGTCGAGGGGACGGGCCTTCTCGAAGGGTCGGATGGCCTCCGGCCTCTTCTGACACCTCTGAGGAGTTCCGAAGCCTTCTCCAGAGGCAGGGGCGGCTTCTCGGAAGGCCGGGGGGGCTCCCGAAAGAAGCCCCGTCGCCTTCCGAGGAGCCCCGCCGCTTCCCCCCCAGGGCTCGCCGCCGAGAGGAGGATGGCGCAGCTCACGGAGGAGTACGAAGCCAACCTCCGAGGTGTCCAGGCGGAGTTCGCTCGGGCCAGGGGGGCGCGGGGGGGAAACGCCCCCGCGAGCAGCAGCACCCCCTCCAGCGGCGGCCCCCCCGAGGAGGCGGCGGGCGCGTGCGCCGAGGCCCGCCCGCCGCCCAGCCTGCTGGGCCGCTTCTCGGAGGACTGCGGGCCCAGCGGCGGGCCCGAGGCGCCAGCGCGCTCCCGCAGCGGCGAGCGGCGCCCCTCGAGGCCAGGCTCGGCGGGCCGCCCGGACGCGGGCGGCTTCCCCCTCGGCGCCAGGGGCGCGCCCCGGAGCCCGCAGAGGGCCGACGGGCCCGAGGGCGCGGGCGCCGGCGGCGCCGCGCCGGCGGCGGCGGGCAAGAGGTCCTCGGTGGAGCAGGCGGGCACAGCTGGCATCGGCCAGGGCCCGAGCGCCCCGCAGGCCCGGGGTCCGGGCGGCGAGCGGAGGGCATCGATGCGGTGGGTGGTCGACAGCCTGCCGCGGCGCTCGGACCCAGCCCTGCGCCTGCGGAGGTGCGGCGACGTGGCGTGCCCGCCGGCTCTGCCCGCGGTGTCGGGGGACTACATCAGCCTCAGGTCGGTTGCGCGTGGAATTCAGTCGGGCTTGTCCCTCTGCAGGGGGAAAATTCAAAAATAGTAAAACATAGTCTGGGGACAATTTTTTTGTTACAAGTTTTGAGCATTTTGTTGTTTCTTTTTCGTCGAAAATCCCCCTTAAGTGGAACGCGCCCAACTTAAACGTGGAAGCGTGGCCCTTCGCCGCAGTGACCTTGCGTGCGGGCTCACGGGGCCTCGGTCCCCCCCGGGCACCAGCGGGCCCGCTAAGGGACTCTTGACACCTCCGCGGGCCCCCCCCGGGAGCCGCCCACCGAAGGCCACTCTTGCCCAGGGCCAGCTCAGATGGGCAAGTTCTCCACCACCGCTACCATATGTAGGACGGGGGAGAAGGGAGGATGAGGAGGTCCTCCTCCGCCTCCTCCTCCTCCTCCTCCTCTTCCTCCTCCCCCCCCTCCGTAGCCATTTTGGCTCAAGACGTCTGCACACAGAGGGCTCCGCGCCTCAGTGCCTGCAAGGAAGCTGCCAGTCCGCCGCAAGCTTTCATTTTTCCAGGATCCTGATCACCGCAGGTCTCCTATTTCCCGCCCTTCTTCTCTCGCGGCGCGCGCAACCATGGGAAAGGGTGGCAGGCAACAGCATAAGGCTTCATTGCAGCAGTGGGCCCCTTGGCGACCAATAGATACATCAGGCACGAACATGTCTCTTGGTGACGCTTGGCCCGCTCTGGGAGGTGCACCACCGACGTTCGCCAACTCCGACACGAACAAGCCATGGAAGCCAGCTGCCAATATTTCGAGCCAGAACATCACCATGCCCAAGCCTGGAAGGGACGCCACTTGGTGCAAGGTGTGCGGCATGTTCTGCTACAACGACCAGCGCGAGAAGTTCGACTACACGTGCCAGTATTGTGGCAACTTCCTCAAGGGACGCCCCAGTGGACAACGGCCTGTACATGGTGGCGGTGATCAGCGCGGACAGCTGCCCGGTGACGTTGAAGCCTCTTTGGGTTTCATCATCGCGAAGGGCGGTGCATCAGCAGAGCAGGTTCGTATGTTACAGTCTACCTTGGCACAGGCACCAGCGCCTATTCCCAAGCCCCCGTCCATCAGGCTTGCGGAGGCCCCTCAAAGAGTTGAACGAGCTGAAGCGGCTTTGGACATGGTGGCACAGCGCGTTCTTCGATTGGAAAAGGAGCTGGGCACGGCTATGGATCAGCACGAGGAGCAAGCGGCAAGCTTGGCAGAGGCGACCGTTTCGCAAGAAGTTATTGCCAAGGAACTTGCCTCATAACCTGTTTGGCGGCCTGACCTGGGGAAGTTGCACGTGCGAGAGTTCTTGGACAAGAAGGCAGAACTTAAGCTCAATTGTGGCGGTCTCTTCGAAGAGGTGGAGCTGGAGGAGCAAGATCGCATCGAGTTTGAGCGGCGCAATTCGTCCTTGGAGGACCAGTTCAGGGCTGCGCTATCTTCGCAGTTCAGTCAACTGGTTGCCACGTTGGCTGAGCAGCAGCAGAAACAATGGTGGAGGAACTGGGTACCTGGCAGGCTACCAAGAAGCGTAAGGGCAGTCTCTCGCCAGGGCCAGGGGCCCCGTATACCGGTGCCGAAGGAGCTGAGGCGGGAGCGGCAGCTCCCACTGCAGCGGCAGCGTCTGCAGGGTCTACGGCAGCACCTACGGCACCTCAGACTACTACGGGGACAGCTACGGGGCCGACGCCTCCGTCATCTTGGCAAGGAGTTGGTCAAGTGGCGTCGGACAGGCAGAAGGAGCTCAAGGCCATCTTGGAACATACCCTTACAGCCAAGAAGACTCCGCCGCCGAGTGTTCGATGCAAGCCCACCCACGGCCGAACTCTGGCCCCCGCCCAGCCTTGGACAGGTCGCAGCGCAGAGGGAGACCAGTGAAGAGGGATCGTCGGGCAAATCTCCTACGGGTACGGCGGCTTTCTCGACGGCGTGCGGGTTATTCCAAGGGCTGGCTCCTTCTGAGGCCCCTGGCTGCTTCATCGAGGGCCTGCGCGCATTCCAGGGGGTGGCTCCACTTGAAACCCCTGGCTCTCTGGAACCCCAGGGGTGGCCCCTCTTGGGGCCCCTGGCAAGGACTTGGATGATTCGCACTTCTTCGACCCAGAGGTATTCCAGGGGGTGGCTCCTCTTGGGGCCCCTGGCTTTCTGACGCACCAGGGGGTGGCCCCTCTTGGGGCCCTGGCAAGGACTGGGAGGCGGAGTTCTACTTCGACTCAGATGGCATTCCAGCAGGGGGTGGCTCCTCTTGGGGCCCCTGGCATGGGCAGCGCAGATGCGGTCTACGGCTTCGCGGAGGATCGCCAGGGGGTGGCCCCTCCTGGGGCCCCCGGCTTTGACTGGGGGGCTGATTACTTCGACTTGGAGGCGTCCCAGGGGGTGGCTCCTCTTGAGACCCGTGGGGGGGGGGGGGGGGAGATCGATGGGAATTTCTAGGGCGTTGAGGTGCGTGAGTTGTGCGGCCATTTCATTCTTGGTGGACGGGGTTGCTCTCTCTTTTGGGAAGATGAGATTTCTGTCTCAGGCTGGGCGGTATCTTGGAAGCTTGATTTCTCTGAGGCGACAGCTGCAAATCCAGGGCCGCCCTTGTTTATTCGCCGAGGCAGCCGGCTCGTCCCCGGGGCGCCCAGGCCACAGGGGGACTGGGAGAACAGTTGGGCGGGACAAGCGGCCGGCTGTTTTGCTGGGCGCAGCGCTACTCATTCGACCTGGGCGGGCAGATGGCCACCGCGCGGTGCGTTTTCCAGGGCCGACAGTTCAGCACGGGAACGACGACTTCTAAGAGATGAGATGACAGCTTCAGCAGCAAGATGGATCCACTATATCCGAGGTGAGAGATTCAACAGCTTAGAGCATTGGCGAGCATGGTGTGCACCGTATTTCATCGAGCCCCTATCGCGCCGCCCACGGAGGGCAACGCGCATCAACTTGGCAAGTTTCCATGACCGTCCATTGGCGGAGATCGCTGAGATTCTGCGCGCCGAAGTTTGGGATCGGGCCGGATTTCATCGGTCATTCTCCGTTGCAGCTCTCAATGGCATCAGGGGCAGGGAACATTGCCGTAGATATGTCAGATGACACTTTCAAGACCTTCGTGAACTACGTCGCCGTTTTAGGCGTCTGCTTGGAGATCGAGTACACCTGATCGGGCTCTCCCAGACGGTGATGAGCATAGTGATGTGGATGATCTAGTTCAAGACAGGGCTAGCCTGCTTTGGAGTTGGGTCTCCCCCACCTCGGGACAGCACACTACTTCGTCTGACTTGGGCCAAGATTCGGCTATTGGGGCAGGGGGGCAGGCAGATAGGGCAGGATGTTCACCTCAAGTGGACGGCGGGGTGACGTTCCGCATCTACATGCGCGACATGTCGACCTGGGGACCTTCGGCCAAGCAGCTCCTTAGACGACCTTACGACACGATCATCATCCAGGAAACTCACATGGACATGTCGGAGACGAACGATGTGCTGGTGGATTTCGAGAAAGCGGGCTACAAGTGCACGGTTTGCCGTGCTGGAGCTGAATCGGCACATTTCACTTCGAAGGCAGGGGGGGTGGCAATGGGAGTTTCCAAGAAATTGGCATCTCAGCCCCTGCGGCATTCGGCCTCGAACATGGACGACTTACCAGGCAAAAGAGTCGACAAACACAAGGGGGACCATGACATGACCGCGGGCGTTCGGTTCAAAGATTTGGCGGGGATGTAGGTTCTCTTGAAGGGTGCTCACATCGCGATCCTGGGCGGCCACCGCTACAACGGACGGGATTGCAGGGGCCAGTGTGGAGAAGCTGCGTCATATGGCGTCGTTGGTGTCATCGTTATCCACACCATGGGCCATCTTGTGCGACTGGAACTTCCCTCCGGAAGCCTTTCGGCAAGCAGTGTGGCTCAATTTGGTGCAGGGGGGCATCTTGGTTGCCGACGGCGTGGATTACGCGTGCACTGGTGGGCAAGGTACACTTATCGACTACGTCGTGGCTTCAGGGTCCGCTCTTGAGTACCTCGATCGGGTGCGCGCGGGTGCAGATTTGGTTGGAAAAGGGGGCGCTGCCCATTATGGCACAGTGCTGGTTCTCTTGCTGGAGGCGAAGGAAGCAGAGGGGCGCGCGCTGGGACTTCTCAAGCTCTTCGGGCCACCCGATAGCCGAAGAAAAAGGCCGACCCGAACAGTAAGCGCTCACGGAAGTTGGCGGCGGTGGCTGCCCCGACGGCTGCGAGGCCCAAAGTTCCAACGTTGGCAACTGGAAAGAGATTGGGGATCAAGGCGCCGCCGCCTTTCAACTACATGGGACTTATGGGCCCGGGGGAGGAGTCGGAGTGCGACAACCAGGGGTGGGGGGGGGGGGGGGGGGGGCGAAGATGACCCGCTGCCTGAGGGGGGGCCTGGGGCAGACCTAGTTCCACCAGCTGCTGATGAAGGGCTGGGCGAGAAGGGGTCTCTGCGCAACAGGGAGGAGGTGCGGGACTTGATCGTCATCACCAATGACAACAGATGGTCCACACCTCCAGATTACGCGCGGGATTTGCATGCGTGGCATCTCACGGCAGACAGTTCTTCTTCTTTGGGATATCAATTTGGCAAGTGGGTCAGCAAGGTGGAGGGCGATTTCCGCATATTATTACCTTGTGAAGGCTTGGGCAAGGACGGCAAAGCCCAGCGTGGTAGACGCACTGCCCGTTCGGTCAGGATCAACAAAGTTGCGCCCTCTCCTCCTTTCGCTCGGACGCGGGACCCTGGGGCGGGTTGGTGGGCTATGATTACCTTCTTGCTTGAGGAACTCGACAGGGCCACCTCAAAGCGTGAGGCCCCCAGGTTCGGCAAGCACATCAACAGACAGGGGCGCGACGGCGTGCGTTCCCACTTCCACTCTGGCCTCTTTACCGAGGAAGGAGATGCAGTCTTGGTGCAGGAAGCTTCGCTTGTTGGGCTCTGCCACGAATGGCGCCATCCGCAGGTGCAAGGAGGACTGCAGCAAGATTGCCAGCAGTTTGCAAAGGATGGAGCGCTACTCGCAGTACTCGGCGTTCTCGCAATGGGCGGGGGAGCAGTACGCAGCGCCGCCTGGCAAGCTATTTCGACTTATCAAGGATAAGCCTGCAGCGAAGGACGCGTTCGAGGACTGGCCGGTCGTCTCCTCCGATCCGCTCACGGCGATGGATATCAGAGCGAAGGTTTGGCGCAAGAAGTGGAGTGATTCTGATGCCGAGACGGCGTCGTATCTCCTGAGCGCAGCGCGCGACCGTTTCAGGGAAGATCCTGTCCCCACCTTTGACTTGGAGACGCTGGGGGAGGGCGTCAGGAGGATGAGAGGCACTTCGGCCAAGGGCATCGAGCAGCTGGGTAAGCAAGATCTGGTCTGGCATCCAGAACAATGCAAGTTGGAATTGGTGCAACTATTTCAACGCAGCGAGAAGGAGGTCGCTGGGCCTTGGCAGCCCACAGTGATTTTGGTGACACTCACGAGGAACCTTCAGGCGACGACAGGGCCATCGGGGTACTTTCCAACCTGGCGAGATTGTGGTCTAGTTGTCGCGGTGAATACCGTGCCAGTTGGACTCGGTATAGGGCTGGCCATTGGGATGCTGCCGTTGCAGGATCGTCTGCCTTACGCGAGGCCCTGGTGCGCAGTTGCCTGGACGAGGCGGTGGCCCTATCTACGATTCAAGGCTGGGCGCAGGCGGGTATGATGTGGGATATCGAAGGCTTCTGCGACGCTCTTAAGTGGGAGTTATTGCTCGAATCAGGATGGCAGCATGAGTTTCCCCCTGGCATACTGGCCTTGGACATGATCCTGCACGTGGGGGTCCGTTTCTTACGAGACAGTGGGTATTACTCCGACGACATCATTTCTGAGCAGAGCATGCTTGCGGGCTTGGGAGACACAGTCGATTTTTTCAAAGTGTGCGCTGTACAACACCCTTGACAGAGTAGCCCTTGATACGCTAGGAGTGACAGCACGGTCCTGGGCAGACGATGTTTCTCAGCGTGTGGAAGGCAGGTGCATCAGGGTCCTTGGTCTGGCCTTGCAGGCAGGATTCACATGTGCCAAAGGTTGCACCGATGCGGGGTTGGTATCTCGTCTAAATCTTCCATCGTCACCAATTAAGCTGACCTGGGGGAAGCTCATCAGAAAAGTGTTGCTAAAGAGGGCTTCGCGGTGAAGATCGAGAGCGTCGCCGCGGACCTTGGCATTGATCGGGGCACAGCTGGCTTTCGGCGCCCAAAGCAAGCTCAGCGCCGACGTGGGGCACAACATCGGTTCAACCGTGTCAAGCGCTTTGCGCTAGGAGCTGCCGTGAGGAAGATCGGTGCCAAGCTCGCTATGATGGGGGTCTCACCGATGGCAGACTATTCGGACAAGGTGTTCGGCGCTACCCCCTCAGTTATCAACGGCTGGAGGAAGGCGCCCGGGCAGACTCTGGCTAGGAAGTGGCCTGTTCGTTGACTCGCCACCTTACTGCAACTTCGCGTGGGGGGGAAGGGTCCGCAGTGCCAGATTGTGCACAGGTTGATAGCGCCCTGGATGTCCGAACGTGGCGCGCGGCTAGGAGGCGGATCGACAACAGAGCGCAGAAAGACAGATGGCGTGGTATCACTGGGGTGGTATCTGCTAGGATCGCCACGCTATTGGACATAGGCTGGGGCCCTGTCGGACCATGGGCATGGATCTCGGATACCGGGGAGCGTCGCATGGCACCAGATTGTATCATTGGGAAAGGTCCCCAAGACATGAGTGCCCTCAGAGACGCCATCCCGGACACCATCGATAGGATGCTGTGGGACAGGGCTTCGCGGCGCTGCGACGGCAAGGGCCTGCCAGAAGGACTTGAGATGGCAGGTGCAACCGAAGCAGTCACGACGGGGGCCTCTAGGGCACGCAGCAGGATAGCCACCCTGAGTAGCAGCAAGCTGGACCCCACGGACTGCCAGGGGTGCGCTTGTGGCGAAGAGGAGACGTATCTTCGTCGCAGCTGGTCTCGTTCTTGCAGTGGTCTACCATCTCCCGACACTTATCCGACGTGCTCACGATGATTATGAACAGCTACCCTGCCTTTGGCTTCGTGGGATCTCACCTTCGCCTTGGACGCAAGTGGATGAGCCGACTGACGCGCCGTTCGACGAGGTTATGGGCCACGAGGTGGATTTTCGAGGCTGCGGGCGCCTACTTGTCGGAGGTGATGCGTCAGGTGGCGCGCACACTGTAGACCCACGGCTACGGCGGATTGGGTGGTCGTGCCAAGTTATCCAGGTCCTCCGTGAACCTGCCTTGGATGTCAAGCTGTTGCGTTCCCGAGGTGGCGGCACTCCCGCGAAGCGAACCATCAACAGGGGTGAGACGACGGCTCTGCTCAGGGCGGTGGGCGATCTCTTGGGGCTTGGCGTGCCCATCGCCTTTCGCTGACTCGGGATACGTCGTGAAGGGCTTAGCCGAGCTCAACGCAGGTCGGCTTCCGACGACCAACTTGGGCATCTGGCTAAAGCTGAAGCAGGTGTTGATGCCGCACCCGTCGCTTCTCAATGTGGTCAAAATCAAGAGCCACATGTCAGTGGAAGAGGCGGCGAACACTGGCGCCATGGTGGAGTACTACCTGGCCAATGCTACGGCTGATGGAGCGGCAGGCTTTTGGGCTGAGAAGTGCGCGGTTCCAAATGCGGCGGCGGCAGTGGGGCGCGCGCTGGGGCGATTGGCCAAGGGTTTCTCGGCAGCAGCGGAGGCGGAGCCGAAGAGACTGCGCCCAACACGTTCGATGGCAGTGTGTTCGGCGCAAGGTCACGACGTCGGAGCACCAGGTATACGCTGGTATGGGAACGGCCTTCCATTGTTCTGCGTGTGGTTGCAGTGCTAGTGGACGGAAGTTGGAGAAGTTCTTGGAGACACCCTGTTTGGGCGGTGTTGCCAAGGGCAGTGTTCAGCGAGTTGGAGATGTTGGAGTGTTGGTGCAAGGAGTACCGATGCACGTATCTCATTTGCTGGGGTACTTGAGTGGTCTGCAGATACACGCGTGCCTGGAGTGTGGGTGTGTCGGCAAGCACTTTTTGAGAGGACTTGCGGATGAGTGTAGCGGACATCTTGGACACTACGGATCTCAGAATCTGGGCAAGTTAGCGCGTGGCATTCTGCCGAAGGGACGTGCCACGATTACTAGCAAGACGCCCAGTACCAGCAGCTTCTAACTTTCATCCAGCTGCTACTTTTCCTTTTCAGATCATTTTGGTCTTATGGAGGCTGCTGTGGTTTTCATGGGGTCAGGCCTCCATCTTCGAGGACGGCCTCGGCGTGCATGTATTGCTGGGGGGGGCCCCTCGTGGGGCCCCAGGTGGCAACCGCGGCTGAGCGGCTGCCTGTCCTCCTCCCTCATCCTTTCCTCGCCCGCGCGTGTCGCAGCCTGGCTTCGGCTTCGGGGGAGAGGCGCTCACGGTCCGCGGAGTAGTAAATACTCCTCCTCCTCCTCCTCCTCCCCCTCCTCCTCCTCCTCCTCCCCATCCTCCTCCTCCTCCTCCTCCTCCTCCTCCTCCTCCTCCTCCCTCCTCCCCCTTCCTCCTCCTCCTCCTCCTCCTCCTCCTCCTCCTCCTCCCCTCCTCCTCCTCCTCCTCCTCCTCCTCCTCCTCCTCCTCCTCCTCCTCCTCCTCCTCCTCTCCTCCTCCTCCTCTCCTCCTCCTCCTCCTCCTCCTCCTCCTCCTCCCTCTCCTACGTGTGGTAGCGGTGGTGGAAAATGTGCGCATCAGCACACGTGCAGCCGATATCAGGATGGCGCTCGCCACCAGGAGGCCCCCGCAGAGGCCGCCCAGAAGCGGGGCCCGACCGTGCTCCGCGCCCGCGGCCCGCGGCCCCGCGCGCCCCCGCGCCGCGCCGCCGCCGGTTTGCGGCGGCGGGCCCGGCGCGAGCGCCGGTGGTTCAAAGATGGGGTCTTGAGTTGAGGGGCCCTGAGGACGAGGTGCCTCAAGCGATGCGAATCCACTCGTATGATGTGCCAACCTGCTTCAGCCTTGATCGCCAGAGAGAATTTCGGGCACCAGGAAAAGTACCGAGAACTGCAGGGTGTCCACGCGTCGGGCCCCGGGAGGCGAGGCTCGCTCGACGCCCTTTCTCGATACACTTTTCCTGGGTGCCCGACACATCAACGTTGGGGGTGTGGTCCCCCGGCACCATTGGAACCACAGAAATCCACCCTCGGATCCCTCCCTATCCCTTGGGGCCCCATCCTCCAGGGCCCCATCTTTTGAACCACCGCGAGCGGCCGCGCGCCCGCGGGGTGCGCCGCGCCGCGGCACGACCCCCGCCCGGTGAGGCCCGCCTTGACCGGCACACCGCTGGCGCCCTGCGGCCCCCGTGCGCGGCCGGCCTCGGCGCCCTCGGGCTCGGCCCTCGGCCGCGGGGCGCCGCTGCGGTCCGCTGGCCCTGGCGCGCTCGTCGGGAAGACGCGGGGGGGAAGAGGCCCACTCGAATAAGGAAGACTCGCCACAAACATAAAGGCTTTGGGCGCTCCGCGAGGATTTCTCGGATCCGCGCCGGGCCCCCCCCCCCGTGCGGCGCCTCCGGCGCCGCCCCTGGAGCGCTCCGCGCGCCAGTGGGGGGCCCAGCGCAGATACAAGAAATCCTCGCGGAGCGCCGGAAGTTTCTGCTTATGTGGTTTTGTTTCTTCTTCTTCTTCTTCTGTACACCGATGCCGTTATACTGAAGTCGGTCGTGTCCCCCTACAGGCGTATGTTGAAGGAAGTTTTCAAATTGCCGAATAACCAAAAAGGCCAAACATAGTAACACAAATCGTCCCCACACTATTTTTAAAACTAGTTTGAATTTCCTCCTGTAGACGGACAGGCCCGACTTAACGCTATGCCCTTGCCTCGCTTTCGCCTTCGTAGGCCTCCCGGGAGGCCGTCTCGTCGCCACGGCTGGGTCTTCGCCTCGGAGCTCTGGTCCGAGGGCGCCCCGGTAGAGGTCCGGGGAGTGTTGAGTCGGGCCTGTCCCTCTACAGGAGGGATACCCGGAAATAGTCCAAAAATAGTCTGGTGACGATTTGTCCACTATTTTTGAATATTTGGGAACTTTGTCTGAGTATTTCTCATTTTTCGCACCAAATCCGCATGTAGGAGGACACGCCCGACTTAACTCTGGTCCGAAGGCACCCTGGGAGAGGTCCGGGGAGTGGTGGTATCAGAATCTTTTGGTTTCCCCAGGAATACGATGCTGACGTCGGCGGTCATGCATGCCGCCGTGAGACTGGGCGTTCCAGACGCGCAGTGCACGTGGTAGTTCATTCTGCAGGGATGTGCTTCCCTTCGCTACCGTGGATCAGCTTGGAACTGCATGCTGGCTCCTGCGGCCAAGCCGCCTGTTCCAGGTTGCCTTGATCGGATCGGGCTGCGCGAAGACTCTCGCGAGTTCGAGTTTGCGGGAGATGTGCCAGTCGAGAAAAGAGATGGGCGTCCCACGATTTGCCTAGCTGAGAAAGTCTATCAACCAGTAATGTAAGGACATCCATTGAGCTTTCTGGGCCACTGGATCTGACACAGGATTCTTTCATGCTTTGAAGCCTGGGCCGCGACGGCATACGAATCCATGAATACAGAAGTGTAGTATTTGCCTCTGTGCCAGGTACATTACCAACGGAGGCTGTGCCAAGAGTGACAGCATCAACACCTGGTTCAGCTGGATATATGTACCTGTCTACGTCCCTAGCTGTGCGCACGTTTACGTCCCTGTCTGATTGTGCGTGACTGCTCCTGCACCCTTTTCTCCGTCATTCCCCGACTCGCGGGTCAAGACACTTCCACCATGCCTCCGGGAACTTTTCATCAAGCGGGCCCACCACGGCACAAGCAAGACAATCGGTTATTCGCGACAGTGATCACACACTGGGGCAATGCATGGTTTCATGCATTCGCCACCTCATGCTTGATGGATATTGGCATACCTTTGTTGCCCGTTCGAGCGCGGCTCAGCGCTTGCTCGAGAAACCTCATGAATTGCGCAGTGAATCTCACAAGCAGTGATTGCTCTGCGGGACTCTTGATCCTTCAGGATTTCGCCCTGTCACCGCCCGCGGGCGCCCCGTTGGCGCCTCGATCGCGATGGCATCGGCTTTGGGTGCTTCGCTTGCTCGCCGCCCATGGGCGCCCCATGGGCGCCTCGCGCGCTTGCCGGGTCCCCCAGGTTTGCGCTCGCTCGCCGCCCATGGGCGCCTGGTGGGTGCCTCGCGCGCTGGGCGCGTTCCCTGGCTCTCCGCAGGACCGCCGCCCGGGGGACCCCGTCGCCGCCCACATAGCTTGCACCACATGCCTTGCACCGCGTGTCTGGCTCCACTGCAACTGCACCACACAGCTTGCATCACACAGCTTGCGCCGCATATCTTGCGCCACAAAGCCTGAAGATTGCAGCACGTCGTTCGCTTGCACCACACGGAATGCAAAACACACACACATTGCACCCTTCTGCCTGCTTGCACCACACGGATTTTCCTTTCTAAAAAAAGAATGGACTTTGCCCCTCCCGGGACTATCACCTCCCCATTCCGTATTGCAATTTGAACATGATTCTGCCCCATCGTCAATCTTAAATATGAACCTGCACCATCCCAGGGGGGGGGGGCAGTATCGCCCCCCCCCGCCATCCTTAGCAACAACTAATATGCGCGAGGCTTCTTTCATCACAAGTCAGAAGTTTCCAAGCATCCCTTGCAAGGAATGGGACGAAGTGCGCACGCGCGCGTCGTCGCGCGCGCGTGCCGAAATCCTTCAAAACCTTTGGTTTCGTGAGGAGTTCAAAATTGAGTGTCAAAAAGGCAAATACAAGCAAATGGTTTCGCAACCCGGATTTTCAAACAAAAAGTTGTGCGCGCGTTCTTGCGATTTCGTATGGCAAACATACGTTTTTCAACATGGTCATAAGATGCTACCACACGGGGTTCGCGCGCGCATGTCGAAATCGTTCGAACCCCCTTGCGGGCGTGCCGTCGCGAGAATCCTTTGCAACAAATGGGACGAAGTGCGCGCGCTCGCGTCGTCGCGCGCTCATGCCGAAATCCGTCAAAAACTTTCAGCTTCGTAGCAATTTCAAAACCGAGTGTCCAATAACATACAAAAACACATGGTTTCGCAATTTCAGTTGTCGAAAAAGCGTGCGCTCGCGCTCTTGCCTAATCTTAAGAAAGCCACAGTTTTTCAGCGTTTTCATGGGACTCTGCCAAACAGGCCTCTCGCGTCGCATGCCAACATCATTCGCACGGCCTTGTGCGCGTGCTCGGGGGGCACGATCCGTCAGGCCGTTTCCTGGGGTTGTCCGATTTTGTTTCCCGACAAGGCGTTGCCTGGGGTTGCTTGGTTCTCTGGAGTTCTCCAGTCTTTTGTTCCTACAAGAGGCCCCTTTCGGGTTGCAAGGGTTGCCCGGATTGTCTGGACAATTTACGTGTCTTGTTACTTGCCGTGTTTACGTGTTCATTCACTCTTATACTTATGCATGTATATGCGTGCTTTACATTTTCTTGTTTACTCGGGAAGCTTTCTCATGATCTGGGTTGCGCCGGGTTCATCTCAGACACTTGTTTTGATGCTCCCGCGTCTCGCCGTGATGGGCTGGGCTGTGCGGTGCAGCGGCTTTACTCAGCTGCGCTGGCGTCTTTGTCCGCCACAGCGCTGTGGGCGGAATGGGGCGGGGAGGGGGTTGGCTGGCAGGGGCTGGGCGGATTTCCCTAGAGAGTCCTTTGACCGCTTGGAGGCCAGATGCCTCGGGGCCCGAATCAACAGATCGAGGCGTGCCCTCCTCGATCGACAGACATGTTGAGGCGTGTCCTCCTCGACGCATTGGGGGCTCCTCTTGCTTGGTCCGCAGGGAACACAAGTGGGACCACGGGCCCGGCAAGTGGCGGAAGACCCCAGCGGTGGGTCTTGTAGAAGGACGTCGATCCAGCAGCTTGCTCCGCCAACTGGTGTGGTCGTGCGTGTATGTGCGTGTATGGTTGCGGGCGCTTGTGATGCGAGACCCCGGGGCGTTTTGGGGAGGCTGGGGAGCATTGGACCCGGGGTGCTGCGAGAGGCCGCCGGCGCTCCCCAGGAGGCCCGGGCAGCAGCTCTATAGGGGAGTCTTGGCGTGCCTCTTGGGACGTACCTCGGCCTCGTGCGCGGCCATCCACGCCCACCAGACCGGCCCTCTGGCTCCACGGCGGCGGGCGTCCAGGCTCCCAGCGTCGCGCCCGCCCGAGGCGCCCCCCGCGCGCGGGCGGGCCGCGCATGGCGGCCGCCTGGGCCGCGCGGGGGCGGTCCGCGGCCGCCGCTGCCGCCCCGCGGGGCGCCGCGCGCCCGCCCACGACCGCCGCCGCGGCGGCGCCGCCGAGCCGAGGGCCGCTGCCGCGGCTGTGCGGGTCGCAGGCGCGGCCGGGCGGCGCGCCCGTGCGCGTGCTGGAGCACGACCGCTGGAGCTCCTGGGGGGGGGGAGGGAGGCGAGCGAGATCGTGATTTCGAGCACTCTTTCTAGGTCACCCGCCGGGGCGCGGAGGCAGTCGCGCTTCGCGCGTCGCGGCCCGGGCCGGAGAGCTGCCCTTCTCAAAGGTGACCTTGCGAGGGCACGAAGATGACCGCGCACCCCGGGGCGCGGGGCAAGATGCGCGAAGTTAGGTGGCCCAGTTCCTGGGTGAATTCTGGAAGCCCGCACCCATGCAGCTTGCGCCCGTTCCTCGCCGCCGCGGCCAGGCTCGCCACGGACTCCTTGGCAGGAGGTGCACCTCGGGGAGAACCCCGGGGAGCAGTGGGCGTGGGCAACGTTAGGGGGGGATAGGCTCAGGGACAGGAGGAGGAGGAGGAGGAGGCGGCGGAGGAGGAGGCGGAGGTCGTCGTGGGCAACGTTAGGGGGGGATAGGCGAAGGGGGGGTTGGAGGTTCGAGGTTTGAGGTGTTTGGACGTTTCGTCGGTTCTCGGCAGCTTGGCAGCCTCGGGATGCCTTCCACAACGGCTGCGCCTCGCCGCGGGCCTTCCACGGGTGCCTGGATCGTCCCGAACGTCCGCGGAGATCCGAGAGATGGTCCGAAGACCACAGGGTAACGTTAGGGGGAGGGGTAGGCTCAGGGGCGACATATCGCCAATCGCCCATTGATCGTCGACAGTGGCCCGATAGCCCCAGGACCACGCGGCTTCGCTATCGAGGGCCAATCGAGGGTTGGGGTAGGCTCAGGGGGGACGCATCGACCCAGGGGGGACGCATCGACCTCCAATCGCCTATGGATCGCCTACAGTGGCCCGATGCCACCGACCCGCCCAGGAGCATGCGGCCTCGCTACCAGGGGCCGAACGCCAGTCTACCGGCGATGTGTGGCCGGTCCCAGGTCGATGCTTCCCCCCTGAGCTCCCTCCCCTGCCGTTGCCCCCCAAGATGGGTATCAGCACCTTCCAGGAGGGGAGAAAACACACAGACACAAGTAATCGTCGACTCCCAGGAAAATATGGGACAGTATGGGAACATGTGGGAAGTGGGGACGACGAACCCCCAGAACAGATGGGAAAATATGGTGAATCCTGGGATTTGCATCTATTTGTTTGTGTGTGTGTCCCTGGGCCCCTTGAGAGAGGTCGGCTGTGGGCACCTGTGTGTGCCTCCCCACAGGAGCGCCCTGACCCTGGCCACGCTGCCCGTGCGGAACTTCTTGCGCACGTGGAGGGTGCGGCCCCTGAACCTCGTGTTCCAGCGGCCCGTGTGGGACGCCGAGGACCAGCAGGGACAACTAGCCAGTGGGAAAAACACACAGAAGCGTCTGTGGGACACACACACACACACACACACACACACACACACACACACACACACACACACACACACACACACACACACACACACACACACACACACACACACACACACACACACACACACACACACACACACACACACACACACACACACACACACACACACACACACACACACACACACACACACACACACACACACACACACACACACACACACACACACACACACACACACACACACACACACACACACACACACACACACACACACACACACACACACACACACACACACACACACACACACACACACACACACACACACACACACACACACACACACACACACACACACACACACACACACACACACACACACACACACACACACACACACACACACACACACACACACACACACACACACACACACACACACACACACACACACACACACACACACACACACACACACACACACACACACACACACAGTCTGTGGGAAACAACACACGCAGTGTGGGACAAAAACGCATAGTCTGTGTGTGTGTTTTTCCCGCAGTGTGTTTTTTCCCACGGATATACAGAAGCGCGGATCCTCGTTACACAAATGCCGAGGAAGGTACGGGGAAAGGGGGGGATAAAGGAAATGCGTGGCGCGTGGAGCATCAGGTGGGACATCCTGGGATTTGTGCCGGTTCATCTGTGACTCCCCGTGCCCCTCTTGCGAGGAGTTCGCCGACGGCGCGGCCGGCGCCTTCCGGCGCGTGGGGGAGCTGCAGGAGTCGGGCGTTGCGCAATGGGAGTCGGGAGCTGCAGGCGTCGGGCATTTCAGGAGTCGGGCGTTGCAGGAGTCGGACATTGCGTAGCGCTGCTCGAGTCCGTCTCCCTGGAAGGGGCCACACTGGCCAGGCAGGAGGCGCTTATGTTCGATGGTGGGCCTCAGGCGGACACGAAAGTGCACTGGCGATCATTGTCGGTGATCCGTCCTGCATCGTGCGACTGCTCTCCTCCAGATAACTTGCAATGCATTCCATACTCGTCGAGAGGGGGGGAGGGGGCGATGAATCGGGGGTGGAGAAAGAGGGTGCGCCCTGCGTGCTTTGAAAGGGGTCCCTGCAGGGGCCACCTGTGGCCCCCAAAGCTGCACGTCTCTCCCCCTCCCCCCCCTTCTTCCAGGGGTCGACCTGGACGGTGTTCTGGCGACTTCGTGGGCCGTTCTCGTTTCGGTTGCGTGCTGCAGCAGAGGCGGACGGACGACGAAGCGAGAGAGATCGAAAACGAAACGAACAGGGAACACGTTGTTTAGGTCCACCCCTAGAGTAGGGCCGAGGGTCAGAGAGCGCATTCTCCTGCAGGACCACCAAAAAAGGACGTCGCGGTGGTCCAACGCTTCGCCGGTTAAGCCGACGAAGACGTGCAACAATCTGCCATTCGCTTACGCACACAGGTTTTGGCGGCTTGACGCCAGCTGTGGTGCATCAACTCGAGCTTGGCCGAGCACGTTGGTTGCGCCCCTGGACGTCCGTTTGGGGTGTTCTGTAGGCCTGACCCCCAGCCCTGCTCAAGCGACCCCTGCCTTTTGTTACTCCAGATTTCGTAATAAAAGGGAGGGGGTCTGGACCCTCCAAGACAAGCCATTTCAGACCTCCCCCGTGGGAGAACCCTCCAAAACATCATCCCCAGACCCCCCAGGCCCTCCAAGATAGCCTGGAAGAGACCCCACCCCCGAAATGAGACCCCCCTCCCTTTATTACGAAATCTGGAGTACCCCCCCCATGCAGCAACGCCAACTCAGGAGGCGGGGGACTTTGAGGCCCTGCGCTCCCTCGTGGCTGCGGGCCTCCTCGGCGAGCTCCGGGCCGCGGCGGCGGCGGGGCGCGGCACCGCGCGGGCCGTGCTGGACGTGAGGCCGCTGGGCGTGCTCACGACGCGGCTGTGGCAGGACGAGAACAGGAGACCGCTGGTCTGTGGGAGGGTCCTTCCTCAGGCGGGGCTGCCCTGAGATCCTGGTGACTCGGTTTTTTCGAGCCTCCTCCTCCTCGTCCCTTCTCCTCCCTCCTCCTCCTCTCCTCCTCCTCCTCCTCCTCCTCCTCCTCCTCCTGCTCCTTCTCCTCCCTCCTCCTCCTCCTCCCTCCTCCCCTCCTCCTCCTCCCTCCTCCCTCCTCCCTCCTCCTCCTCCTCCTCCTCCTCCTCCTCCTCCTCCTCCGCGGCCTCCTCCTCCTCCTCCTTCTCCTCCTCCTGGGCGTTTTCGCTCTATTTGGGACCCCGAGACCCGCACAGATCGAGACGGCTCGAAAAATGACGCAGAAAGGTGGGGTCTTTGGGCTCTGGTCCTGATTGTTGTGCGATGTTTCACTTGTTTCGCGGCGTCGGATCTCAGGGTCGGACGAGGATAAGACCGTTCCAGAGCGTTAGGGGATGCTTTCAGAGCGCTCCAGAGAGCTCTTAGGAGGCCGCGGCGCCGCTGAAATTCAGAGATCCCCAAGGTATCTTCACCCGACTTTATCCTCGTCCTGGCTTCGTCTTACTTCTCTCTGCGGCGAGCGAGGGGGGGAAGTCAGAAGGAGAAGGCACTCTCAGAAGTCGGCGGGGCTTCTCAGACGGCCTGCGCCATTCCGAGAGGTTGTTGTCTTGTGTATTCGGGGATGGGCACAGAAAGCTTCTCAGACGGCCGGGGGACTTCCGAGCCTTCTGAGAAGGCCTTCTCCTTCTCACAACCCTCAAAGGCTCGCCGCCGAGAAAGGGTCTTCTGGTCGCAAATCATGGGAGCCTTGTGTACCCTCGTAATTCCGTCTGTAGAGTGCGCTGGCGTTGACGAGCTTCTGGTAGTCGATGAGAGAGCGCCGGTTGGGTGTCGATTAGCGTCGATGTAGCGTCGATGAACGTCGATTCGCAAGAGCCGGCAGCATGGTGTGGGAGGCCCCCAAAGAGTTGCCACAGAAGGTTATCCGGCCCGCCCGCCCCCCCCTCTCCTCTGGGCAACCTGACCTTGTCGGTTGCGCAGGTCCGAAGGGGACACGCAGTGTTGGTGCGTTCGGGCACGCGGGGCTGCACGAAGTGAACAGTCCTGGCTATTGGTTGTCGCATCCCCCCTCCCTCCGCCGGGTAAGCCGGGTTACAGTCGGGGCCCTGAAGAAGGAACCCTTTTCGTTGGGGAGGGGCTCGGTGTTCCTTGATTGTTTCACAGCTTGCCTCAGGTTTTCCCTAGGTTTTCGATGGGAAGTCGAGGTTTAACTTGTGGAGAAAAGGGGCCTCGTTCCTTATTTAGGGTTCCTTAGGTCAACGCCCCGACTGTATCGCCGAAGACTGAAAAAACGGTCTCAAGGCACCTGAGCCTGTGGGTCACCCAGGTGCTGCGGGCCACCGAGGAGTACCGGCTCGCCGGCGACGTCTGGCACGTGGAGAGGCCCGCAGTACAATACATGCCGTTTCTATTCCTCGCTCTCCTGGGGCTCTGCTGTGTTCTTGCTCGTCAATGTTTGTCACGTGTGCGGAGCTGCACTGTCAATGCCGCGCTTTCCTGTGGCTTTGCCGTGTTCCTGCTCGCAGCGCACACCGCCAGAGGCGGCGGAGAGCCTGAGAGATCCACCCACAGAAAGAGGCTGCACCGCTGGACCTTTTTGCGCAAATTACAATTTCTCCGAGATCCGTGCGGACCTCTTGGATCGGCGCTGGGCACCCCGCGCGGCGCCTCCAGCGCCGATCCAGGACATCCGCGCGGACCTTCGAGCAATTATGCTTAAGTCGGGCGTGTCCCTCTTCAGGAGGAAATTCGCAAACAGTTTTTTTAGACAGAAAAACAATGTTTGACACATTTTGTTTTTTTGGGGGGGTATGTTTCATTTTTCGTTGAAAATCTGCCTGTAGGGGGGCATGCCCGACGGAAAATTATGCTCATGGCGTTTTAATTCCTCTAGAGGCTGCACCGCTGGACCTTTAAGCGTGTCCTGCTCAGCGACTCGGAGGAGGTGGTGGGGGACTGGCAGCTGACCGCGATGGACAAGGGGCGGTGGGTACCGCCGACGGCCGCTGAGCGCACTCCGCGGTGAGAGCGCGGACGCCCTGTACGGGCGTCTCGGCGCGCCTTCGGCCGAAAAGTGCAGCACAACTGCAGGGACAGCAGCCTCGTGAGCGGGGATCCGAACCGATCCGCGACGCTTACATCACAGGCCTAGAGGTTGACACAACACCAATATCGGCGGTGTGCCTCCACCCAGGGAAGAAGATCCCGATCTCGGTGATAGTGGCAATATTCTGGCTTCCAAGGTGACCGAAACAGTATCACCAACACCGAAGTCGAGGATCATCTGCCCCCCTGTGGAGGCAACCCCCTGTGCTGATGTTGGTGCCAAAATTCCAGGCCTCCAATTACAGTCAACCCGCAGAGTAAGGATGAGCGATTTTCCAAGGTTCCCATTGCATCCTGCCCCTTCGCCCCAATCCTCGGCCACTTTCGCAGGCCCCTCCCCGCCCGACAGGTATCGGCACGGCCTTTCAAGGCCCTTGCACGGTTCCCCGGCGCCCTTCTTGTTGGCCGTGCGGCTGACAGTTTTCGGAGGTGGTGGGCTGGGAGGAGGAGGAGGAGGAGGAGGAGGAGGAGGAGGAGGAGGAGGAGGAGGAGGAGGAGGAGGAGGAGGAGGAGGAGGAGGAGGGAGGAGGAGGAGGAGGAGAGGAGAGGGAGGAGGAGGGAGGAGGGAGGAGGAGGAGGAGGAGGAGGAGGAGGAGGAGGAGGAGGAAAGGGAGGAGGAGGAGGAGGAGGAGGAGGCGGAGGCGGCGCCTGGAGCTCGGGGTCCCAGGGGGGGGCTCCCATTGCTCTGGGAGCTGCGGCGCCAGGTTCTGCGGGTGCGCTGCAGGCTGGCGTGGAGCAGCCGCCGCGATGCGCCGCGCTGCCCCTGACGCGGGCTGCTGCTCCGGAGGTCGAGTGCGGAGGGCCGGAGAGCAGTGCCCTCCCAGGGCGCGGTCCCGGAGGCGTGCATGCCCTGCGTGGCCCGTCGCCGGCGGTGGCGGGCCGCCTCCGGGCGTGGTGCCGGGCCTGAGCCAGTAACAGCGGGGGCGCGTCAAGAAACCATCTGCTTTGCCTCAGGGTACCCTGGGCTTCTGCGCGCCGCGCTCTGCGCGGTGACTTCCCGCGGCCGTCAGAGAAGCTGCTGCGCCACGGCTGCTCCGGGTTTCCCCTCAGGTGCACCTCGCGCGCGGGTTTTCAGGGTTGGGTTTCTTGCGAGGGTTTATTGCGACTGCGCTCGCAGTGTATTCTTCTCAGAGGCGCGCTCCGTGGGACCCGCCCCCCCGGCCCTGCCCACTTCCCCCTCCGATTCGCCATGCCGGGCTGCGCGCTGTCCTTCCTGCTCTTCTGCGACGGGGAGGCGAGCGCGCGGGCGCTGCGGCCGCACGACGACGAAGGCGACTCGGCGCGCGCACCGCGCCTCGCGCTGCCGACGACGACGACGACGACGACGACGACGACGACGACGACGACGACGACGACGACGACGACGACGACGACGGCTGCGGCGGCGGCGGCGGACGGCGACGACGAGGACCAGGACGAGGAGGAGGAGGAGGAGGAGGAGGAGGAGGAGGAGGAGGAGGAGGAAGAGGAGAGAGAGTCGAGGGTCGAGGGTCGAGATATTTTTTGCCAGCTTTGCGCTTGTTCTGTTTGCCCCTGGATGGCTCCCGGGGCTCCCCGAGGCCTCCAGGGACCTTTGACCTTTGGTCCATTGCTGGGGCCTCCGTTTGGCGCCCGCCCCCGCCTCTCGCGTGGATGTGTGTGGGAGGCGTTTTTTGGGGGTTACTTGAAGCTGGCATGGTGATCTCCGCGCTTCTGCGGGCCTCCCATATGGGGTCCGACCGGGGGCGGGGTCGGCGGATCGCGCCGCACCGCCGCCGCATCGGGGAGGCCACCGGGTGTGGAGCCCGTCTTCCCCCGCGCCGGCGTTGCCGACGCTTCGCCGAGGTCGCCGAGGCATCGTCGGCGATGCAGCGGCGATGCATCGGCGATGTGGCGCGATCCTCCGAACCCGTCGGAGCGGGCCCCGCCTGGGAGGCCCCTGGGAGGGCGGCCTCAGTGGGGCGGCCCGTGAGGGCGGAGCTCCTGGGAAGCGCTCAAGAGCACAACGGGCGGGCGGCCCTGCGGAAGGGTGCGGGCGCTGGATTCGCTTAGCCAGGTACCCACTGTTCATTTTCCAAGGATTCGAAAGTTCTTTGATTTTTTGGGGGCCAAGATCCTTTCATTTCTGATTGTTCTATTCTGGGCCTCTTCCTGGCCACTAGGGGGCCAGTAACAGTTAGAAACGAGCACAATCAGAAACGAGCACGATCAGAAATGAACGACGTGCACCACTTGGGCCGACCTAGTCAGCGTCGACTGGCAGGGTGTAGTTGGGAAGCTGCCGGCGGTCGTGCCCCAACTCCTGGATGATCTCGACCAGGTGTTCGTCGCAGCTCTGGAGCAGCACCCTCCAGGCCGTCACGGAGGGAAATCTTATCACTCAGCACCTCGAGCATGTTGACGATGGCGTCCTGACGGTGGCCCGACCTGTGGAGAGGCACCGCCTGCTGCAGGCTGTGATCGCGACATCGATTGACACCGGCTGCATCCGGGTGGCGCGGCGTCTGAGGACCTCGGGATACCCGAGGGTCAGGAGGAAAAGAAACACACAGACACAATTAATCGTCGATTCCCCAGAAAATATGGGAGAATATGGGAAGTGGGGGGGAAGACAGAAACCCAGAAAATATGGGAAAATATGGGGAATCCTTTTATTTGTGTGTACTTATGTGTGTGTCCTGGGGCCCCTTCAGAGGGGCGCGCGCGGTCGGCGGCGCTGGTGCCCTGAAGTCTCTCGTGGTCGGCGTCGCCGCCGGGGCTCGCGGCCGAGCTCTACACCCGCAGCTGTGCAGCTGTCGAGGGTCCTGGGCTGGTCAGGGCCAGCCTGGGCCCGCCGGTGATTTCGTGGTTCGGACCCTGCGGAACTGTTGATGAAAAATCCCACCTCCTTTTTCATCCTCCTCCACCCTTCCTCTTGCTCCTTCCTTCCTTCCTCTTGCTCCTTCCTTCCTCCCCCCTTCCTCTTGCTCCTTTTTCATCCTCCTCCCCCCTTCCCTTTTCACCCTCCCCCCCCTTCCCCCTGCTCCTCCGCCTGGTGAGCGGCAGACAGCTCACGGATGTGCATGTGGCCTCGTGCGGCGGACAAGCTCCCTCCCCCGACTATCCCTTTCCTGCACGTCCTCTCTGCCATCTCACAGTGCTTTCTGCACTGCGTGCCAGCATCTGGGCGAGAGCTGGAGGTACGTGTGACGAATAGGACAAATGCCATAAAGACAAACTTTTGGCGCTCCGCACGGATTTCTTGGATCCGCGCTGGGCTCTCCCGGGTGGCGCCTCTGGCGCCGCCCCTGGCGCGCTCCGCGCGCCAGGGAGGGGGGTCCTGCGCCGGTTCGCGAAATCCGCGCGGACCGCTAAAAGTTTGTGCTTATGCCGTGCTTTGTTCCGCTAATGTGGTGCATGTCCTTCGAGAGCTCCGCTCTCGCGCGGCGGGGCATGCGGCCTATGCATGTTCCGCGTCGGGACCCTGTAGGACACCCCGAGGGGCGCGAAGATAGTCGCGCTTCGCGCGTCGCGGCCTGGCAGGGGAGCTGACCCTCTGTGGGGGGGGGCGTGCGCGGGGGCGTGACGATAACCGCGCGTCGTGCATGGTGGGGCGCGAGATGTGCGAAGCTGTGCTGATGTCGGGCCTGTCCCTCTACAGGGGGAATCTTCAAAAATAGCCATGTGATACCAGAAAACAAAAAACAATCATAATCTGTTGAATGATATAGGGCTATGGGGCTAAATGGCTATAGGGCTATAGGGCTATAAGGCTATAGGGCTAGAGGGCTAGAGGGCTAGAAAGCTAGAGGGCTATAGGGCTATAGGGCTATATGGCTATATGGCTATATGGCTAAAAGGTTATAAGGGTACAAAGCTATGGAGCTATTAGGGCTATAGGGTTATACAGATTTTGGGGCTATAGGGCTCGAGGGCTAGAAAGCTAGAGGGCTATAAGGCTATTTGGCTATAGGGCTAAATGGCTATAGGGTTATTAGGGTATATAGCTATGGAGCTATTACGGCTACAGGGTTATAAAGCTATTGGGGCTATAGGGCTAGAGGGCTATAGGGCTATAGGGCTATAAGGCTGTCAGGCTCTAGGGTTATAAGGCTATAGGGCTACCGGGCGGGCACCTGGGCACCCCCGGGCACGCCCGGGCACCCGGGCACCCGGGCGTGCGGCGAACATCGGCGGCAAACCTAACCTAACCATACGAATCCCCTACAGAGGCAAGCTCTGATTGGGGAAAAATAGTCTGGGGGCGATGTTGTGATCATTTATATGAGTTTTTCGGTGTGTATTTTTTATTGTTGGTATTTTTTAGGTTTCGTCCAAAATCCGCCTGTAGGGGGACACGCCCGACCTAAAGCTACGCGAGCTACAACCCCAGGCACACTTAGCCTCGCACACGGTTGACGCCCCTCCTTCCATGTCGCCCTCATTCACCCCTTCAATGTCGCCCCCCCTTCAATGTCGAAGCAAGTCGACACGCCGTCTGAGCGGGCGTGCCTCCGAAGTTCCACGACGGCCGATACTGACGGGGGGGCGCCAACAAGTACTTGGCATGCACTGCCACCCGAACCTAGAGCGTCACATCGACAAGGGAACTGCGTAACACATGTTTCAGGTTTGTTTGAAGTCGGGCCTGTCCCTCCACAGGAGGAATATTCAAAAATAGCTAGCAAATAGTATGGGGACGAATTTGTTGAGCATTGTTCATCTATTTTTGAATATTTTCCTGAGAATGTTTTATTGCGAAGGCCTTACGGCCGGTGCCGCCGACCCTGGAGGGCGACCCATGCGTTCTCTAATGTGGCGGGGGGGGCCTCTTGGGGCTTCCTGGGGGCCTCTTGGGGGTCTCGTGGTGGCCTCTTGGGGGCATCTTGGGGCTTCCTGGGAGCCTCTGTCGCCGAGGGCTCGTCGGGCCCCCCGTCTGGGCACCCTGTTGGAGCCGTTTGGGAAGCCTCTGGGGCCATCTTGGAGGCATCTTGGGCGGTCTTGAGGCTCTCTTGGGTCATTTTGGGGCTCCTTTGAGGCCTCTTGGGCTATCTTGGGGCAATCTTGGGGGCATCTGGGGCCGTTTTGGAGCGTCGGCAAGTTGAAACGGCGAGAACGCCCAAATCTGTCAAAAACTTTAAGGAAATCATTGATTTTTCCCTCTTCGTGCCGTCTTGGCAGTGCTCTTGGAGACTTCTTGGAGCGTCTTGGCAATCTCCTGGGCCGTCTGGAGGCTACTTTGGCGTCTTCGACCGATGGTTCGGCGATTCGGAGCCCTCTGGAGCCGTCTTGGAAGCCTCTTGGGGCACTCTGGGCCAGTCTGGGGGCTTTTCTAGGTCCCGGGACATCCCGGGGGGGATGCGTATCTGCCCCCCCCCACCCCTCCCCGGGATCCCCCCCCCCCGGCGGGGAAGGGATCAAAAGGAAGGGGCTTCCCTTCGACTCAGCTACGACGTTGCTCAATTTCGCTTTGCCTTCGACACAGCTACGACGTTGCTCGATTTCGCTTTGGTTTCGCTTTGGCTGGCGCGCCTGAGGGGAGGGCGACGACGACGACGACGACGACGACGACGACGACGACGACGACGACGACGATTTTTGAATATTTTCCTGAGTATGTTTTATTTTTCGCCCAAAATTCGCATTTAGGGGACATGCCCGACCTAACGTTAGTTCTGTCGACGATGAAAAAAGGGGTGCGCGTGGGCGCGAAGAGAACAGCGCATCGGGCTTCGTGGGGCGCAATGCGCGAGGTCAGGCCACCTGGGAGTCCAGCTGGCTTAGTTTCCCCGAGTGCCCGCCTCAACCTTGTTCCATACGCGGCTCTGCAACACATCATCAAAATCGCACTGCTGCTGCGCAGAACTGATGCTCAAGCCTCCAGAAACTCGCACGAGTTAGCCTTGAATTTCGATACGCTCCAGTATGATAGTTTGGGGAACTGAGTTTTCTGGAGCTCAGCTGGCTGTGTTTCCAGCCTCTGCGGGGTCGCTGGCTTGGGCTGCACCCGGAGGCTTCCAGAGCCCCGAGCGTTGGCTGCCGGATCTCAATCTGTTGCCCGTCTGGCCTCGCCTTGCCTCCCCAGGCATGTGGCGGGGCCGGCTGGACGCGCTGGCGCGCATCGCCGCCGCGGCGCTGTCCTGCGGAGCTTGCCCCGGCGAGAAGAGCCAGGACTCGTCGTGGACAGATCGGAGAGCTGATCTTTCGCCCGCGGGGAGGTGGGCGAGAAGGGAAACGGGGGTCGCTCCGGCCACGGAGGCCAGCGGCGGAAGCCAGGCCAGCAGGCGTAGGGCCTCATCCTGCCTTGCCATGCTTAGCATGCTCGTGGTTTCGCCCAACCATCCCTGCTTGACCATGTTGCCGACGCACCGCTGACGTGCACGGCTTCTGTCTGTCTGGCCAAGCTAGGGGGCGTGTACACCGCTCCTGGACCCAGGCTGGGCCTGGCCAGCGGCGGTAGATGTGTGTAGATCGCGCAGCTCTGTGCACAGGCAGACCCCATAGGCATTCAGCCGCATTGGTACGCCCGTGCTGAAACGCAGCGCGTGCCGTGTTCAACACGCCTGGTCGGCCAACACGCACTGCGTGCTGGTTCCACGCGTGGCCCGTCCTGGGGACTTCGCGCTGAGCTCCGAGTGGAGCTCCGTTCCGGGGTCCCAGACCAGTGGGGTCCGAGAGCGGGGGTCTGGGGCCAGGGGATCAGGATGGGGGCGCTCCAGGACTGGGGGGATTTGGGACGAGGAGGGGCCAGGGGATCAGGATGGGGGCGCTCCAGGACGAGGGGGGATTCGGGACGAGGGCGTCGGCTGGGAGCTCCGGGCCGGTGGGGTCCAGGACTGGGGGGACCTCCGGTTGCCGTCGCTGCCTCCGCCTGCCGCCGCTGCCGCCACGCCTCCCGCTGCAGCCCATTCGACTGCAACTTCGATTCCGCTGATGCGTGTTCGATACACGCCCAACAACCTCGAACGATCGACTTCGACGTCGACGATGACGACGACGACCACGACAACGGCGACGACGGCGACGACGACGACGACCTGATGCCGACCTTCTCGATGGCGGGCCGCCTCGTCTCCCGGTGGCGGGGCCGCTGGTCTCGACAGGTGTCCAGTCGAGAGGGAGGCTCCGTGCTGGGTGCGCTGCGTGTTGGTTGGGGCTGCGTGCTGGGCTTCGTGTTGGGCGCCGCGTTGTGTTGCGTGTTGAGCCTGGGTTTCTGTTGTGCCAGCCTGAGCTTTTGCGGCTGCACGGGTCCTCTCCTCCGACGCTGCAGTTTTGTGCGTGACACGGCCCCCAAAGGTCGGCCACGCGCAGAGGGGTGTAAGGGGGAGGGGGGGAAGGCTCCTTAGAAGCACCCCTGCTTCTCCCAAGGCCCAAGGCGCGGGTCTTGTCTGTAGATGTGGGGCCGATGCCTTCGAAGAAGCAGCTTCCTTCTAAGAAGCCTTCCCCCCTCCCCCTTGTGCGCGCCGCCAAACAGGATCTCGACCACCTCCCCAAAAGGCTCGTCGTTTTTTGTCTTGCGTGGTCGGTTGTCCGTCAAAGGGCGGGGAAGCGGCCTCCAGAGGCTGCGAGCGTTCAAAGACTGGCCGTCGCAGTTTTCTGACGTCGCCGAGCTGGGAGGGCGTGCGGCCAGATCTCTGCTGAACATCTAGTCGTTTGGCAACGTGTCAGCGCGCTCCGAGTTGCGCGCTGAGTGTGAGGGCAGCTGAGCCCCAGAGAGGTCAGGAGGAGGAGGAGGAGGAGGAGAAGGAGAAGAGGAAAAATAATAAGAAGAAGAAAGAGGAGGAGGAAGGGGAGGAGGAGGAGGAGGAAAAGGGGGATGGGGGTGGAGGGGGAGGAGCAGGAGGTTAGATGAGGAGGAGCGGGATGAGGAGGAAGGAGGAAGGGAGGGAGGGAGGAGGGAGGGAGGGAGGGAGGAGAGAGGGAGGCAGGGAGGGAGTCGGGATCGGGGCTGGGACTGTGGCGTGTCCTCGCACAGGTTGGCAACTCGCAGAATACAGTCGCGGAGGGCGCCTTTTCCTTCGCGCTTAGGTAGTTTCTGGGTCGCTTGGCCCCGTGAACTTTCGGACTTGGTTGTGCTCTCAAGCGCGTCGTGCTGGGTGTTCGCATCGCCAACCACATGATGAACATTGCCGAGTTCGTCTTCTGTCACGTTGTCGGCGTGGGTTCTCACGTTTTGGTCCGTACATATTGTGCGGTCGGCACGTGGTCATTCTCATCGTGATCATGCGTTATCGAGAAGCTGTCATCGGACGGGCGGCTTGGAGGTCGTACTTGCACTTCTCGTCGGCAGGGGTGGGGACAACTTTCCAGGGTTGTTCAATGCTGACAATTATTCGTTGGTTTCAGGATTGGGCTTTCGAGGCTGTCTCCGCAATCACCAGCTTGCCACTCCGCGCCGGAAGCAGCCTGCCCCCGGCGACTTGATCCATGCCTCCGAGAAACCACCGTTCTTCCTGGACGCGCCCACTGGTAGCTGTCCGTAGCCTTTTTTGGCTCAACGTAGGGGAGCCCTTGAGCGGCCGCGGGCCTGTCGCGCGACCCTTCGGCGAGGTCGACGAATCGACGGGCACTGGTCGGCCAAAGTGGGCGCCTGCGGCGGCATCGGCTGGCACTCGCTCACCGTTACACTACTCGCAAAGTGCCTGCTCGCAAACGTCAGAAACAACACACACACATGTTCGCTTGCCTCGATGTAATAGATCGTAGATCCCCCGCGGCGGATCTAGGCTATTTGCGAGCAGTTACTTTGCGAGTCGTGGAGCGCGCCTGTCTACTCGCTATGGCCGCAGGGGAGCAGGATGCTGCGTTTGCAGGCCTGCTGCTCTCCACATTAAACCCTGCTCAGCAGCGGGACGCCGAGCGGCAGCTGCGAGAGGCAGAAGATAGGGATCCGTTCGGGTTCGGCGTCCTGTGCGCCAGGGCTTTGGCGTCTCAGGGGAACCAAGTGTTGGTGCGCCAGCTTGCGGGACTCTGCCTCAAGAACACCTTCGCGACGAACCGCACTGGCGGGCTCGACATGGAGCGCCGGCAGCGGTACTTCAATTTTCCGGCGGAGTCCAAGGCCGTGGTCAGGGAGGCGGTGGTCGTGGCCCTGCAGGACCCCAATCGTGAAGTGTGGTCGTCCGCCGCCGTGGTGATCGCGAAGCTCGGCGCGGTAGACATGCAGGACGGCCAGTGGCCCGACCTCATGCCAACGCTGCAGCGCTGGGCCGAGAGTGGCAGCGCGAGGGTCGCGGCGCTGAGAGTGCTGGGGTACCTGGCAGAGGAGTGGTGGTCTATCATGCCGCCCCACCGCCTGCAGGAGCAGTTCGGAACAGAGGTGGGCGTGATGCTGCAGGCGTGCGCCAGGTCCATGGGCGACGGCAACCCTGCCGACGTGCGGCTCGGCGCCACGGAGGCGCTCTTTCTGGTCCTGGGCTGCGCGCGCAACGTGCTGGAGAGCTCGGAGTCCTCCGGGCAGGTGATACAGGTCATCCTGCAGAACTGCCAGGCCGCGGGGGGCCAGCAGCTGGCGGCCGCCTCGCTGCTCTGCCTCGGCCGCATCGCGTGCGAGTTCTACGACCTGGTGGCGCCCCACCTCGGCAGCATCGCCTCCACCTCCTGGGCGGCGATGAAGGACGGCTCCGAGCAGGTGGCGGTGGTCGGCGTGGAGATCTGGAGCGGGCTGGCCGGCCTGGAGCTCAGCGTGCGGACCTGCGACCAGGGCTACACCCGGCAGGCGGCCCCCGCCCTCGTGCCCGCGCTGCTGCAGGTGCTCGGGCGCGGGGAGCCCGGCGGCGACGAGAGCGCCCTGGCCGACGCGGCGAGCGCGTGCCTCGGCACGGTGGCGCAGGTGGTGGGCGACCCGTGCGTGGACATCCGAAGGAGGGAAGGCGGCATGAGCACACCGTCGGGAAAACCGTGTTCTCCGCGTGCCGCGCCGCCTGTCATGGCCCACTGTGGGACGGGTGGGTCACGCGGGTGGCCCAGTGGGACGGGGGGTCACTGTGGCCACAGTGGGCCATGGGTGGCCCACTGTGGCCCACCCATGGCGGCACGCGACGGTGGGGGCGCTGGGTCAGGAATGTGCCCAGGAGGCTTCAGACGCTGGGGGATGACGAGGGCCGCAGTGGTATCCATGGCTTATCCACGATTGTTGGCGTCCCTCTGGCTTCCAGACCCTGGATTTCTCATCCAATGTTTCCCTTCTGCAGTGCTCTCACCGTATCCACATCCTGGTCCCCAAACGTCAGCGTCCTGAGCTTCTCCCAGCCTCCCGTCCCGCGGAACGGAGCGACACGCTGTCCGCTCGCAAGCGGCATTGTGTCGCTGGGGCCGCCGCCGCGACAGGCAGAACAAAAGCTCCCGACCGTAAGCTTTCGGAGTTCCGCGCGGATCTCTTGGATGGGCGCCGGGACCCCCTGTGGCGGCGCCTCCGCGCGCCAAGAGGGGGGGTGCTCAGCGCCCGTCCAGGACACCCGCGCGGACCTCCAAAAGTTTATGTTCATGCCGCTCTTCCTCCTTCTGGGCATGGTCTTCCAGTTCCTGGCGTCGCACTTCGAGTCGCAGGAGCCGAAGCTGCGGCACGCGGCGATCCTGGCCTACGGCTCCATCATGGAGGGGTCGTCGGAGAAGGTGGGGCCGATCGTGTCGCAGACCTTCGGCGGGGTGGTGAGGAGCCTGGACTCGGACGCGTTCCGGCGCTCGGGCGCCTGGGCCGTCGGCCGCGCGCTGGAGTACCACAGCGACAAGGCTTCAATCGGGCCTGTCCCTCTACATGAGGAGTAGTTAAAAATAGTCCCAAAATAGTCTGGGGACGATTTTTTGTGTATGTTTTGATCATTATGGGGCATGTGTTAACTATTTTTGATTTTTCGTCCAAACTCCCTCTGTAGGAGGACATGCCCAACCTAAGACAAGGTCCCGGAGGCGGGGAAGCTCTCCCTGTTGACGCCCTGCCTCACGCTCATGAGGGACGCCGAGTGGTCGTTCGACTTTGGCTACGTCCTCCGGGGCGTGGTGGCCTCCCTGCGCGCGACGCCGGAGACCTTCGTTCGGTAGCAAGTCAAAGGAGCCTTGTGTACCTCCGCATTTCCATCTTCAGAGTGCGTTGGCGTCCGCTAGCGTCTGGTAACCGATGAGATGGCACCGACTTAGCATCGACTGGCGTCGATGAGCGTCGACTTAGCGTCAGTTTCGACTAGCGCCGATTAGCGTCGACTCGCAAGAACCGACAAGATGGCATGGGAGGCTCCCGTGAGTTGCCACCGGACCTTCCCCGCCATCTCCAAGCAGCTGCTGGACGAGGTTCCGCGCGCGACGCCCGACGGCCGCGAGGCGCTGCTCGGCGCGCTGGGCACGCTGGCGCGCGTCGCGGACCCGGCCTGCGCCCCGTGCTTCCGGGAGCTCCTGCTGCAGCTGCTGACGCTCGCCGAAGGCACGCAGGGCGCTCAGCTGGACGGCGTCGGGGCCTGCCTGCAGGCCCTGACCGAGTGCCTCGGCGACCAGGCTTCAGAGGAGGAAAGCTACCCATACCGCAGCCGTTCCCTCGGTTTCCCTTGTTTGGGGCCTCCTGGGAGGCCCTCGTCGCCACGGTTGGATTCGCCTCGAAATCCTGGCCACAGCGCTCCCCAGGAGAGGTCCGGGGCGCAGCGGTATCGGCACCTCCTGGGTTCCCCCAGGTGGCCGACCTGGCGGAGCCCATGATGAAGCTCTACATGGCGGTGCTGAGGTCGGGGCACGAGGGCGGGAGAGGGCTCCACGAGGAGACACTGCTGGCCGTGATGGCCCTTGTGGTGATCCTCGGCCCGCGCTTCTCTGGGTTTGTCGCCACGTTCTGGCCCATCTGAGGGGCTTGTTTCCCACCACCACCACCATAAGTTGGAGGCGGAGGGGGTCCTCCTCCTCCTCTTCCTCCTCCTCCTCCTCCTTCTTTTCGTCCTCCTCCTCGTCCTGCACCTCCCTCCCCCCTCCAACTTCTGGTGGTGATGGTGGAAAACGGGCCCATCACCATCCTGAAGGCGGCCGTCGCCTCCTCGGACGCGCCCAGCGTCTCGGCGGCCGGCCTGAAGATCCTCGGCAGTGTGAGCTCCTCGCTGGGCGAGCAGTTCCTCCCGTACGCGGAGGACGCGCAGGGGGTTCTTCTGCAGCTGCTGCGGGACCCTCACCTCGCCCTGGAGCTCAGGCCCGCCTGCGTGCGAGGGCTGGGACACTTGGGGCAGTCACTGGGGGCCAAGATGCCCCACATCCCACAAGTACTCGACGCCCTCAAGGGCTTGATGGAAGACGCGAAAGGCAAGGGCAAGGGCGCCAAGGGCAAGAAGGGCAAGGGAAAGGACGACCACCACGACCACCACGACCACCACAAGGGCAAGGACAAGGACAAAGGAAAGGGCAAGGACGACAAGGGCAAGGGCGGCAAGAAGGGGCACAAGGACAAGGGCAAGGAGTCCGTGACCGGAGCATTGCAGCGGATCCCCGACGAGGTCCTGCACATGCTCGACTTCGCCGACGCGGTGCTGGAGGCCAACGCGTGCATCTTGGTGGGGCTTGCGCGGACGTCCGCAGTGGGGATGGCCGGGCAGCATGCGCACGGGCTGGCGCACTTCGCCTCCCACGCGGTGGAGAACCCGTCTGCCCCGGACAACGTGCTGTGCGATGCCATCAAGGTGCTCGGCTGCCTCGCCGCGCAGAACTACAACCTTGTTGCGGAGGTCGTGTGGCCCGAGACCCTCCACAGGATGTCCGAGTGCGCGTCCAAGGCAGGCGACAGGCAGGTGTGGGAGCTGTTTCAGCAGATCTCGCACGCGCTGGGGGCGGGGCAGCAGTGGGGCGGGTGGTCTTCGTCGTGGTGGTGAGGCTTTGGGCTGGCATCACAGAGCAGCCCCAGAAGTGCAGTGGAGTTGCGCACCAAAAGGCGAGCTGTTTGTCGGATAATCCATGTTATCAGGGCTTATTGTTCCATAACCTCGTTTTTTTATAAACAAAAATAACTTGGTCAAATTGTTTTTCATGTCAGCACAGGTACTTCCATTTTGTATAGTTGTTCTTGGAAGTTTCACTCGTTTGCGAAGTTAGCCCTCGGGTGCCTACAGGGTGTTTTCCTTTTAACCGATGGCGTTGTTCGAGACGTTGGCTCCAGGAGATTTCTTCCTTTGGAGGAAGCGGCAGGCAAATGTTTCTTGTGTATCACAGCTGGTAGCACCAATAGCAAGGAAACTATGTCACTTGCGAGAGTTTTCGCGTATCAGTGCAGCTGCATCAACGGGCAGCACGTAGTAGTACAAGGCACGTGCAACGTTGTCGAGTAACCCCGCATCATTCCCCGTAGACCACCCTTTGGGTCACAAGGTTTGGGGAGTAACGTTAACTTTGGTTCGCATTGGACGCACAATTCAACCCGCGAGTAGACACACACATACACACTGGGGCATCATGCATTTGCTTTGTCTTACGATCGCTCGATCTACTGATCACGCGATGTATTTTTCGGCACAACCATCGGGACAACCATCGCGACAGCCATCTCAAATAGTTGTATGTGTGTAAGCCATGTACTTTTATAGAGCGATATATTTTGTGTCAATCGATATCAGTACCCCTGCATATTCCGATATTGCTATATACCTCGTGGGGCAATCGTTGGTGCAGTCACCTGGACAGCTAACAAGACAATCGTTCGAGATATCCACCCATCTATGGACATACTGGATTAACTATTGAACTGCCTAGTGATCTGACGACCAACCGACTTGTCGATCTATCTGTCGGGACAACCAACGGGACAACCATCGGGGCAGCAATTCGATCCAGCATGTCATAGATCTGTCGCACTACCTATCGGTCTGCTTATCTATCCATCGGCTTCACAGACCAATTACACACATCAGACATCTTAGGACAAACAGCGTCAGCTTGCATGGGCTCCAGAGTTCCGTAGCCATTTTGCCTCAAGACCCCTGGGGCTCCGCTGCTCCATTTTTCCATTCGTAGAACCTTCTTGGTTCACCCCGCCCGGGCAGTTGGGTTGCAGTTTGGTCCCGCTGTCGCGCCAAGGCAGGGTTTTTCACCCCAGACTTCTCATATCAAGAATGGCATACGTCGTTTTTTGTTAGATATGTAGCCTAATATTGTTTGTTGTGTTAGAGCTTTAAGTGCAAGGCAACGCGATGATCTCGCTTTTGATATGAACGTGCAATCTAGTAACGCCATTCGGCTTCGCCTCTCATATGTTTGTCGGAAGGGTCACGAGCAATATGATAGAGCATGGTCTCGCACTTTGATTTCGTTGTTGATGCAGTTCAACGTGTGAGACCAGCAGCGCAGTAGGAATGTCTCATTATGTTCCGGCATGCGAGAATGATGCTTGTGATGTTCGAAGCTGACTATGGTTATGAGAATGGCTGTGTTTTCCTGTATTCTTCCGTTGCGGCAATCCGTCCTACGCATATCCGACTTGTGTCAGCTAACAATCAGAAATTCTCACCTCCTCCCTAGGATCTTCCCTTTTTCCTCCCGCGCCTGTCCTCTCTCACCCTGCCCCTTGCCCCGCCGCGCCCGTGCGAGGCTGGAGGAGGGGGGGCGAGGAACGCGTCGCGGAGGGGAAGTAGGAGAACGTGGGGGAGTGCCCGTTCTCGACGGCGGGATTCTCATGTCCGGTTGGGCCTTCCGTGGAGCTCCCCACGGGGCCGCGAGCCTTGCGAGGGATGTGCCGGCGTGATCGGCGGGGACGCGCGTGAATATGCCTTTTGGGCCTTCCGTGGGGCTCCTTGCGGTGCCACGCAACGCGTGAAGTGTGTGTGCGTGCTGCGATGAGAGGCGGGCCCGAGACAATATCCTGAAAGGAGTTCGAACGTCAAGCGCCCACCCCGCCTTACCGATGCGTGTGCGCGGCCGAGCGTCCAGTAGTCGCTTGCTGGCTTTGGGGGGGGGGCAAATGTACGTTCAAACACGAAACAATTTGCATGGACTCCAGATTTCGCTGTAGAAAACCAAGAATCTGGACTGGACCCTGGGCGTTCTCTTGCAGCTCATTTGTCGTGGTCTTTTCGTATATCTGGACCCAGGCCACTGTTTTAAGAGAACGCTTGGGGTGGAATCATTTGTCATGGTTTAAACTGTTCCTAGTTCTTAGCAGCGGTGTAGATGCCAATCCTGCGATCAATCTGGACATCAAGTTTAACCACCACTATACATACCATGCCCTTTCTGCCGATGTCCGTAATACTCGATCTGTTGATATCACGATCTGCCGAATGGGACAAGAATCGGAACAACCATCGGAGCAACCATCGGGATAAGTATCGGGATAACCTTGGGAACAATCATCATGACAACTACTGGAACAACCATCGGGCTAGCCATCTGGAAACACATCGGGATAATGTTCGGGATGCCCATCGGGGCGACCATCTGGACCATCATCGGGACAACCATCGGGACAACCATCGGGGCAATTTCCAGGACCGCCATCGTCACAACCATCGGAGCAGCCATCAATTATCAAGGCCACCAGGGATACTTATAAACCATCGAGGCAACCACCGAGACAACCACCGAGACAACCAGCGGGACAACCATCGGGACAACCACTGGAACAACCACCGTGACAACCGTCAAGACAACCATCGGGACAACCATCGGGACAATTTTTGGATCAACCCTCGGGACAACCATCGGGACAACCACCAGAAAAACCGTCGAATCAACCATCGAGACAAACAGTGGGACAACCATCGGGACAACAATCGAGACAACCATCAGGACAACTTCGGAGCAATCGGGAGCCACAGCTAGGATTTAGGGGGCGATTCACAGTTTGATTTGACTTAGCTTCTACCTGGGCAGGGACTCGCGTAGCTTCGCCCCGCCTCGCGCGCACGCAGGAAACGCACGACACGAAACGATTATCATAATTTGGCACATCACGTTTAATCTCGGTTTCACCCCTCCAACCTCCGATCCAGTGGCCTTTGGCCCAACCCATCACTGTCCCTTGTGGGATGTCCCTTGTGGTGGTTCTTGGAATGCCCCTTGTGGGGGTTCTCGGTATGCCTCCCTTGTAGATGCAATCTCTATCTTATCCAACTGGCAACCAAGCGGCACCATCTGGGTCAAATTGATCCCAGCGGGGGTCGATCTCTCGTGCTCGCGTTGTGCGCCAGAGGCATTTTAAGCACCTCTCGGGATCTTGTGGGATGCCTCTTGGGGGCCTCTCGGGATCTTCTGGGGGTCTCTTGGGGCCCCCCTCGGGGCCTCTTTGCGGTCTCTTGCGGGCCTCTTGGGGGCCTCCTGGGGACCTCTCGGGGGTCTGTGGGGATTTCTTTGAGGCCGCATGGCGGTCTCGGTGGCCGTCTTGGCTCAACAGGGCTTCGGGCCCAGCCGCGGCGACAGTGTGGCTTGCTAACGGCAAGAACGTCACGCGGGGAATCCGAGTAGTGCTCGGAGGCCCCCAGAAGCGGTCAGACTTCGGGGCCGTGGTCCTCTTAGGAGGCTTATTTAAATCGTACGCAGAGGACTCTGACAGACCTGGGGGCACTTCACCCAGTGCCTCGCGGCACGGTGGCTGCGTGAGTAACTGACATATGACAGCCTCAAGTGAGGCTCAAGCCCCAAGCTGTCAACAAATATCCCCTTCATTCATTGCATCTGCGCCATGGCATGGGCCAAAAAGCAATGGACTGCAACGTCGATCAGCAAAGATGTGTGTTTGGAAAAGCGATGGCAATACAGACCGGACCCGCGACGGGAACGCAGAAAGTTCGCAGACGTGATCGTAGAACAGTTTGACGAGATATTGAATGACCAGTTTGATATAATCCGCCGGCTGGGCGAAATAGGGTTCCACAGTTTGCGTGCAGAAGAGCAGGTCAATCAATATTGTCAGCACCATGTCCCACTGGAACTTATCGTAGCAATGCAAGGGACAACTTGGTATGTTGAGGTACCTAAATTTGAGTACGTCGAGACGTTCGTCGAAGTTCCGAAGGTTGTATTTGTGGAAAAGATCGGAGAGCAGACACTTGTCATGCCAAGCGCTCGTGATAATGCCAACAGTGGTGAAATGGGTCGAGACGGCGCCCCTTCTTGTGAGGCGGGTCGCGTATCTAGTGAAGATAAAACGATCAAGGAAGCGGAGGCCACACTTGACGGTCTACTTTCGAGTATCCTGACAAAAATCGATTTGCTCATTGGTGCGAAGGACGAAACAAGTTACATAGGTCTGGCGTTGAATACGTTTGGGAACCAAACTTGCACATCAACATTCCCCAATGCAAGCCCCACGAAGTTATGGAGGGCTGAAGTCGAGCAGCGTTATGAGTTCATGCACCGATATTGCCTCTGGCGGAGTGTACGCGGCAAACTTCACAATGGGACTGGAGACCCGCAGAGCAAGACAGACGAAATTTTGGAATTGACGTACGCATTACACAAACTATGGCCAAAGTGATGGGTTTCGCGCAAACGTACGCGAGGCAAACGCGCCCCTTTTTTTACGACGCTGCATGTTCAAGCTCATGGGAAGGGTTGTGCCAGCGGAGCCAACATTACACACTCGAGATCGTAACCATCTACTACGACATCTGAGTT